TGCTTTAAACACCTGGAGCGACTGACTTGTGTGTGTTTAATACCATTCGGTTTAGATGTTAGTATTGCTGTCTGGCAGGCTTTCTTCAGGTCAGTGCCATCAGCTTTACCCGGTGGTATCAACTGGTAGCAATGAACCCAGAAAAGAGACAGCAGCTGGAGCACAGTATTGGTTGTAGATGTGAGGGGCATCTCATCTGTACTGCCACACCTTCCTGCCTCTGACCATGCCTGTGGGTGCTAAGAAACAGGCGTGTGACAACTCACCGTGGTGCTACAGAGCAGGGTAGGGCACAAAAGGAAGAAAACGCTTGCCCTGGATCAGCCCCATAGCTAGGATGTGAGTATTCATGCTGGAATTGTTGATAATTAACAGTGCTTCAGTGCTAATGAAAGCAACTTCTTGCAGGTTCATGATCTGTGTGCAGAGCTGGTGAGGTTTAGACAGCCTGCCTGTATGGACACTTAAGAAAAGGTTACCGAGGCACTTAGTCTAGGTAGAGACCTGGAGAGGAAAAGTCCGCACCAGACGTACCAGCCCTGAAAACACAGGCGTCAGGGCTGGGCTTTCCAATAAGGGATTATGAAAGTGCTCTCTCAGGTACTAATTTCTGAGAAAAGATGTGTTGTCATGGCAGGGCCCAGCAGTGCAGAGGAAACACGCTGCAGGATGGAGAGATTCACTAGATATCTTTCCTTCCGTACTGTCTCACAACATTGTTTGCAAACACAGCTTGCACCTCATGACTGATGTATGACCGTCTGTGCTTGCTGGCACATGGGAGATGACAGGAGGGAGGAAGCTCAGTGGGAAGACACCTTTGTTCTCCTGACTGGCTGCCTGTTTTGGAGGAGCTCCCCTGCTCCGCTTGTGTGTGCCACTCTGTGCTGCCTTTTGGCTGCACTGCCTTGAGCCGGGCTCCGGTGCTGGCTGAGGCTGTGTGCACCGGCGCTGTCCCGGTGGTGCCACGTACAGCTGTGTTGAGCGTGGGGCTCAACAGGGGCTGTTGGCACGGCTGGGTCTCACTGATGGGATGGAGTGTGCAGCTCCGGGCAGGCAGGCCTGGCAGAAGGGTGAGGTTTATGGTAGGAGTAATGTCCTTTGCTGGGTGCCTTTTGCACAGCTGGAAACAGAATAATGCTTTGTGCATCCCTAAGAGCTGCAAGCGCAGTTCCATCCTGTGTCACTGCCTCCAGCTGCCTGGCTGGGGGTCAGGTTTCGGTGGGGCGTTGTGAGGGGCTCCGTGCAGAAAGCAGGCAGGTGTTCTGAGAAGTGTGCCAGCGACGTGGGTGCTGAGTACCATTTTTAAGCATGATACAGGCCTCTGGGCGTGTACATCTTCCAGTCAGAGGTACCCTCTGCAGCAGCTAAAAGCAGTTTGGGTAAGACTGTGCAAAGGCTGGGAGGTGCAACGCTACTGCCTGCTCCCCTAAGCTGGTGAGAGCAGCACTGGAGGGCACTGCCCAGCAGTGGTGGGACTTGGACAGCTGAGAGCCCCTACCTTGTGTTCCTGGGGGATTGCCTCTGGGATGGCTTCACAGCTTCTCTTCCTCCTTACCCTGCAGCTGTTGGTGCAAGCGTGGATTTCAAGTACAGGCACCTTGTGCACTCTCCTCACCTAGTCCTTCTTTCTACAGGCAGGTGCGTGTGTCACACCCAGGCCCTGCAGCCCACAAGCAGCTTTCCATTCTCTGAGCACCACTGATGAGCTGTGTTGTTGTGGCAGGGTGGCCAGGGCTTCCCTCAGCTGCTGGACCAAGCAACCCTGCCTGAGCAGGCAGCCACAGCCGCTGCCCCGAAGCAGGCAGCTCCGAGGGGCGGGGGGGGTCGTGGTGGGGCGCGGCCAGCCACAGCCGCTGCCCCGAAGCAGGCAGCTGCGAGTGGAGGGGCAGCTGTGCTGGGTCAGCCATGCCAGGGCAGCCGAGAACAGCAGAGGCACTAGCTGCCCGGCAAGGCAGGGGTGGCCCCTGCTCTGCCTGCACTTGTCCCTGGGAGCAGGACAGCAGCGTGAAGCATGGTGTCCACCCCCTCCACTCCCAGCCAGCGCTGGTGATCACACATTGCTGGTGATCGCATGTCACAGGCGCTGCTTTCCCACCCTGGCTCGCTGCCTTAGAAGCTTCTCCACTCCCTTCGCAGCCCGGGGGGAGTGGAGCCATCTCCAGTGAGTGCTCCTCAGTGGATGCTGGGGCAGAGTTGGTGCCAGGCACTGCACTTGCTTCGTGTTTTTTCTTCATAATCAGCTTGATTGCTCTCCTGCTCTGAACCTCAGCAGCAAGCCAAAGATTTGGGGTCATGTTGTGGAGGAGGAGCTGGTGGTGGGCTCAAGGTTACTGGGCTTTGTTTCTCCTGACAGGCAGTAGGTGAGAGGCCAGGGGACAGCAGGTGACGTCTCTACTCAGGCACTGCGGAGCCCACGCACGCTCTTCAGGCCATCATTCCCAGCACAGTGCTGCCTCTGCTCCTGCCACTGTGTTTTAACGTTTCCCACCATCAACCACAATTGCTGTCTGCCCGCTGGCTTCGGGGCTTTTCTCAGAGCAGCAGTCCTGTGGCTGATAAAGCATCTCACCTCCTCCCTGGGTTGGGGAGGATGGGGGAAATGGGTTAAAGCCCTCACAGACTCCTCTGCGATGTCCACCTGTGTGGGCTCTGGCCGCTACATGGTGTGTCTCCCACACTCTTCCATGGGGGCACAGGGGTCTGCAGGTCGGAGCCCCCTGCTCCGCGCTGCCCATGGGGGTAGGGAGGCCATGGCAGCCACTGGCGGGGGGGCGGGCCCGGTGGCCTGCCTCCCTGTGGGGTGTGCTGCGTGGTGCTGGGAGAGCCGAGTGTGCAGGGTGGTTTGCAGAGGAGCAAGTTCAATCCTGAGGAGAAGGAAAGTCCATCTCAAGGGTGGAGGTAACTGTGGGTGCAGGCAGCCAGTGGGGCAGGGAGGCTGGGGTGCGGGAGGCAGCACTTTTTTCTCCCTGTCTGTATGTTCCCTGTGGCTGCAGCTGTGGCTGGCCACTCCTGGAGATGGCACCTTGGCTGGACAGACAGCTGGTCTGACATAGTGGCCATCTGGATGTTCATGAGTACTTCCTGCTCTTCAAATTCTCTTACTGACATGTGTTTCTCCATGCCTCTTGTGCTTTCACCTCCTTGAAAGTGATTCAGCTGCCGGTAGCTCCGCTCTGCTTTGCATGTACCCTCCCCACTGTGCTTCTCTCTCACTGCACTTCGCTGTGCGGCTGCCCCATGCCCAGCTCTCACTGCTGGGCACAGGCAACAGGCTGTGATGGGTAGCCAGCCAGGGAGACTGGTGCCTGTGCAGAGACCCACTGTGCTGGCATCAGTGCAAACCATGAGCAGGCAACACTGCTGCTGGTAACTTTCTTTTCTTCTCCTACCTCAGTGGGAACCATATTTTCCAGGGACTGGCTGCTGGAATAGCAGTGAATGAGAATGGAAGAGGCCAAATCACAGGTATGGGAATGAAAATGGCATTGTTATGCCCAGTTTGTCTCTCTCTCTCTAAGCTCTGTCTGTTTGTTTGATTGCAAAAATTATCTTGTTATGGTTCTTTGCTGACTTTAGGTGCAATAATGCCCTGGTTTGCATTTTCTAGTTGGCATTTCTGCCCTTGATGGAGGGAGCATGTCTTTCTGCAGTGGTGTCCTCCGAGTTATTGTTCCCTTCATCTCTGGCCCAGCTGGGATGTGGAACTGTGCTCCACAGCAATCTGCCACATGGACTGCATTTTTTCCCTCCTGTGCCATCCAGTTTATAAGCTAAAGCTGTCAATGATGTTTTCCTACTGTCATGGCAGCTCTGAGTGGTTTTCCACTCTGCCCTACACCTCGGAGGACAGGGAGGTGGTGGTTACTGGAACTGCTAATGACCGGTGTCCTGTGTGGGAGAGCATTGCCAGGGGAATGGGGGAATCGGGAAGCTCCTGAGGCTTGGGCTCTGCTGCAGTGATGGGATCTTTTCGGTGGGGCCAGCTCTTGGCTTGCCAGGTCTCCTTGCTCCTCCATGGGCAGGAGGCTCGTGTGCTCACCTTGTCCTCCCTGCCTGTCCCTAGGGAACATCATCTGCGAAAACCAGTGGGGCGGGGCGGACATCCGCCATGGGGGTGACCCCGTCCTCAGAAACAACCTCATCTCCTGCGGCTACTCAGACGGTGTGGTGGTGGGCGAGCGTGGGAAGGGCCTCATCGAAGGAAACACCATCTATGGTAAGGAAGCAAGCTTGGTTGGAGGACAATTCTTGCCTTCTCCCCCGCCCCCCCGTCCTCTTGGGCTTGCTGGGTGCCCAGGAGGTTTGGCTGGGAAGCGGCTCCCGGCCCCGCCCCGCCCAACGCAATCACGCGG